ATCGTACCAACGATAGAGTCGTTGAAGAACGTTTTCGAAACGACGGAAGATTCGCTAGCGACGAAGGTCAAAATCAGCTGCAAACGTCGGAAGGTCGAGAGGCGTTACGAGCTGGTTTGGGCCCGCTGGGTCAAAAATACGTAGAGGCCGTCCTGAGGGGAGCGCGAGATAAAGAGAGCGACATAGATCGCGTGTACGGCGTTTACCTACACAAGGATAGGCTGATGTTTGGCAATAAACATTTCGACGTGGATGACGCGGACAACATAATTATCGACGGCGTACGATACGCCGGTACACCAGGTCTTTACGAGTTGATTTTCAAGAGAATTCCTGACGATGCGCTCTACACGGAAGACGATATGCACAAGTACAAAAGCATGCTGTTGGTGACGAACGCCCACAAACACAAGTACCATTTGCAGGGCCGATTATTGAGTAACAGAGGATACAAGTACAAACATGTAATCGCGCCGTTGATGTCGGTCACACCCAAGAAACAGAAGAAATCTGGAAAGGGATTACCTCACGCAATGACATTGAACGACAACGCGATCGATTACGTGCACTGGGATGATCCCAACGAGCTGGTGGATTGTCTACGATTGCTCGACGCTTCGCACCGAGCGGGCAACAACGCTCACGACAACGAGATACTGTCGATCATCGAGGAACTTCGCGAAGCCGGTCTTATTATAAATTAAATCGCGTATTCATTAAACGAGTCAGTCGAGTGATACCAGCGAGAAAAATACATTAATTTCTTGTACTCTGTATATTACACGTCGGATCATGAAAAAGAAATCCGATAAAAAGAGAGAAAAAAATTAGCTCGGAGAAACGTCGGCTCGTCGAGGAATTGCACGCTCCGGCGAGAAGAAATTTTCCGCGAAGGCGTGTCATAGTCCGGGGGTACGACGATCTGTGGCAGGCTGATATCGTTGAGATGCGCCCGTACTCGAGTTTCAACAGAGGTTACCACTACATACTCACCGTCATCGATGTGTTGAGCAAGTACGCGTGGGCCGTTCCGCTTAAGAGCAAGGGTGGAAGCGAGACGGCTAACGCTATCGCTGAGATAGTTCTAGGCTGAGATCGTTCGAGAGAGCGAAAGATGTCCGAAAAATTTACAAACGGATATGGGGAAAGAATTTTACAATGCAGATGTACAGAGTATCTTGAAAAAACACAACGTTAATCAGTATTCCACGTATTCGACGTTGAAAGCGTCAGTGGTCGAGCGATTCAATCGCACGCTCAAAAACGACATGTGGAAGATGTTCTCACTCAACGGCAATTACAAGTGGGTCGACGAGTTGTCGCGTCTGGTGTCAGATTACAACGCGCGCAAGCATCGCACCATCGGCATGCGACCCTCTGACGTAACTTCTGCGATCGCCGAAAAACTCTTAGGTACAGTGTACAGTGCGATAAAGATAGCGGTTCCTGCAAAATTCAAAGTAGGTGATTCGGTACGCGTGAGAAAGTACAAGACGATTTTTGAGAAGGGTTACACATCAAATTGGACCACCGAAGTGTTTACGATCGTTAAGGTGCAGCGTACCAATCCTGTAACTTATTTACTCGAGGACTATCGTGGAAATTCCGTCGTTGGAGCGTTCTACGAGCACGAGTTGCATCGCACTACTCAGCCGGACGTGTATCTCGTGGAGAAAGTGTTGCGCAGGAAGGGCGACAAAGTGTACGTCAAGTGGCTGGGATTCGATGGATCGCACAATTCATGGATACACAAAACCAATGTTATTTGATAAATTTTTAATTGATATTTTTTGTATACATATCACAATATAAGAATATAAACGTGTAAAATATTTTTTTATTATCCTTTCCATTTTTAGAATATAATACAGATATAAAATATGTATATAAATGTACGATACATGAAAAATAACAGTAATACATAATAAATGATACTACATAAAACATAATAGCAATACTTATATACAACGTAAAAACATAATGCGTAAATTATAATAATAATAGTACATAATAGTAACAGGTACGTAGATTGTACAATATGAGAATATTTAAAAAAATGTAAAAAGACATACACAAAGTAGTACAAATTAAGATAATACATAAAGCATAATAATAGTAATATATATACGCTGTATGAAAATATAAAAAACATGTAAAAATATAATATAAATGTTGATATGTACATATATTACAAAGGTATCCACCAATGTCCCCACGGTAACGTCTTCGTCGAATTCGGTACGACGTATCGTTTGTCATCGTATGGACTCAGAGCGATTTTCGATTCGGATATCGTGTATACCTCGTGCAGTTTAGATCGTATACACGATTGACGACGAGTCATTTCGATCTCTTCGTTCAAACATCGCGTGTAATCGTCGAACGTTAT